TGACACCTTCTCCAATAATCCATCTACTTTATATTGGAAAGCCTCACATGAATAAAACTTTATGGCACTACAGGCATTTAGCCTTCCACTGACATTCCTGGCCTGTTCAATTCTGCAATTCAATCAAAATCAAATCTCAAAATCCTCTTGTCAGCCAGCGCTGCTTTCATATGCCCGAGCCCTGTGTAAGGATAACTGCATCCAATCTTTCCCCCAAGCAGTGCTTATATTGTTTTATTACAGTTCAATGAGTGGAGTTCAAAATTACATGCAGCTGCCTACTACTGTGGTCTGTCTGTGTTACGCATGGACACAAGTATTGCCCACCAGGCTTGAAATCATTCACTTACTGGTCTGGCAAGAGGGACTGTGAGCACTTCATTGTATGGAGGAACATCCTGCCTGCGAGATCTAAAGAGGGTGATGTTAGCAGATCAGTCCCTTTATAAAGGGATTGCGAAAGCCCTATGAAATGCAACTCCAACGTGCTCGATGTTAAGCATGTGGCTACTGCACATAAAAGCAAAGATAAACCTCAACATGCACTACTCATTCTCGGAAAGCTTGTGAGGGAAGATAAAGGACCAGGGGAATAAAAGGCATCTCACAGAGTTTTTATATGTGTTTTAAATGACGAAGCTTCATTTAGACGATTTTTATCTTTTCGCCCCCCCCTTCCATAATCTTCGCACTGAAACAAAGGGACAAAACACAAAGCTAATTAAATACAATTTAATCAGATGAACAATGCAGGGACTCCAAATCCAACAGCTTAAAAAACTCCTGCTAGCGCGAGCTCCTGTGCAGCCTGGCTGGAGGGAGAGCATCAAACCCGGGCAAGGTTCTCGTCCCACGCTCGCTGGGGCGGCAGGTGAAGAGCGTGCCAAGAGGGTCCATCCCGTGCCACCACCGGGGCCGGGAAGCCGAAACCACCGTGAACCGATGGGAAGGGGTCCACCCTCCCGGTGCCCAGCCAGGTACCAGCAAACTGGCCCAACGCCCCCGCCGCCGGTGGCAGCATCCTCCCTCAGCACCTATGACATTCCGCCAGCGGCACGAGCGATGCGATGCTCCTACAGGTTAATGGTATCGCCCATTGCATTAGCGTTTAGCGATCATTTTCACTTGGCTTTCCGTCAGCATTTCACAGTATTACAACACTGACCAAAATCAAAAGAAAAAAAAAAAAAAGAAAAAAGAAAAAAAAAAGCCTTTTATCAAAGCCTATTCATCAAATATTCTACCATGACTAAATTCTGTAAGACTAGCAAGTGAGAAAACAGAGGCAACACATAGTTAGACATCCTGCCGAGAAAACGCTCTCTTCGAGATGAACCCCATTACCTTTCAACACACAGGTCTGAGAACCAAGCTAACCACACAACAAACCGCCAACCTGTGACAGCAGCACTAAACTGCTTGTCCACGAATCGAGGCTTCATTTCTTTTTTTAAAAAAAAAACACAGAGAAAAGGGAAAAAAAAAAAAAAAAAAAAGCACGTTCAGCTGCTCTGCAACTGCCCACACCTTGGTTATATAGAAGCAAACCCAGTCGTGAGGCTCTCCAGCATCTGGGCTTTTAATAGCCCTCATTTAAAAGTAGCATGGATTCTTGTACGTGCATCATAACGTGTGTCTATTAACCTATCTCTACATCTACTTGTACAAAGCCCGGACAGGGAAATGTGGAAATGTGACAGTGGTGACTGATCCTGGAGTCACCGACTGTCAATTCGCCAGTACGGAGGCACAGTCCCCAGCTTGGACACTGGGATACAGCCCACGAGATGCAGTTTCGAGTTCCTGCACCTGCCAAGGGTTTGTGGTGGGAGAGTCACGTCTCCTTTATGTCTGTTTGCTGTACAATCACAGAATGGTTTGGGTTGGAAGGGACCTTGAAGATCATCTCGTTCCACCCCCCTGCCCTGGGCAGGGACACCTCCCCCCAGCCCAGGTTGCTCCAAGCCCCGTCCAACCTGGCCTTGAACACCTCCAGGGATGGGGCAGCCACAGCTTCTCTGGGCAACCTGCGCCAGGGGATCACCACCCTCAGGGTGAAGAATTTCTTCCCTATATCTAATCTAAATCTCCCCTCTTCCAGTTTGAAGCCATTCCCCCTCATCCTATCGCTCCACTCCCTGACTGAGAGTCCCTCCCCAGCTTTCCTGCAGCCCCCTTAGGTACTGGAAGGGGCTCAAAGGTCTCTCCAGAGCCTTCTCGTCTGCAGCTGAACAACCCCAACTCTCAGATTCAGGAACATTTGTAGCAAACCTTAAGGTGCCAGTATCACCACCATCTCAGTCACCCCCTTCACATCTGAATCCACTGAAGACATCACAAGACTAACGCTTCTCCATGAGAGCTGGACTGGGTTATGGGAGCACCAAAGCCCCAGAGGAGTTCCTGCACAGCTCCCTGTGACAGCCCTGTCCCCAAACGCCTCGCATACTCGGAGCCAACACAGAAAACCCTCAGAGGAAAATACAACTTCCCTCTGTTAAGGCTACCAAGGGCGATGATGGTGAGGGAAGGAGCAACCAAATCTCCATCAGCCTGCAGACCAGGCTTTGCAGCTCCATGCACAGCTCTTCTGTGGCCAAAACAAAAGGCTTCGGGCTGAAACCTGCAGTTTTGGGGTATTCTATAGCCAGTATCACAGCTCCCCAGCGTGCTGCGTGCATACAAGGGTGCACACATGCCACGACAGCACACACATGCATGTTTCCACCAGCCCCCAGGACGGGGAGGTCCCTGCGCCCCCCCAAGGACCAAACTTGACCAGTAAAGCGCAAACAAAACATCAGCATGCACTTGATGGAGGAACGCTATTCAGGAACAGCGGATATTGTCCCTGTCAATATGCACTGATGTATCAACATGAGAGAATCCAAAATTTGAGGCAAACCACCCGGGCATGTGCTGGGGCTAGGTGGGGAAAAACCGTCTCGCTCCACATGCACGCTTGTAGGAAGTGACAAAGTATCACGTCTGCCTGCCATCCGAAATATATTTAGCAGCCTATAGATAGCAAACCAACGAGATCCATCTAAGCGCGAGCCCCGGCACACGCACCCAGTCATTCATGGTGACTTTGCCCCCGTAGGCTTCGCTGTGAAGCCAAAGGGATGAGCGAGGAGCCGCGGCTCCCAACCGCCCCCGTTATCACCACCATCGCAGTATTTACTGTAACACATGTGACTTAGTGAAGCCCTAGATTAATTAAATGAACTCCTCCATTAATCAATCAATCAATCCAGCACAGAGCAGTTGAAATATTGAATTACTTAAGAGCAGCATCTTTATATAGGACTTTTAAAGGTCTGCTCTGGAGGACCTTATCCCCGATAATTCAATTCAGCCTCACATGGAGAGGAGCGCAAGAAACCCAGAGGAGGCCCCGAGGCTGCGAGAGCAGAAGTGGGCACGTCCCAGGGCACGAGGGAAACGCCAGCTACTGCCCTGGGAAACGCCGCCCCATCCGAGGGGGTCAGCGAGCTTCTCCAGAAGCCAACATCCCCCCGAACCACCCTTCAAAACACCTCCCCAGACACTGAGAGGGGAGGCTCCTACTTGTTCAATCAGGACCACTAATCAATTAATTATAGAAAACTAAGACCAGGATTGCCCAATCCTCAGGAACGGCTCCCATCCAGCTGGCAGAGGGGGAAGGAGGAAAGCAGGGCCATGTGCTGGTACTCTGGGAACACCTGAATGCATACATAATAGTTGCAAAACCTGTAAAGTCAGTAAAGGTTATATAATTTTATATATGGTGAAATTTAGGCAGAGAGAGTTGAAACACTTTGTCCCAAGATGTGCAGAGCGCCGGTGAGAATGTCAGTAATAAGAACACCAATCTCCCATCACCCTGAAAGCCAAGCACACAAACTGCTAATATGATCAATTTTGTCATCTGTGGGTCCACTTGAACCGGTATATTTGAACACTGAAATTGCAGAGGTTAATTCTACACTTCTTTCCATCCTCATTTCAGTTTGGATGAGACGATGTAGCTATGCCCATCAATGGGGGAAAGGACAAGGAAAAAAAAAAGTCTACTCCATGCATGTAATCTTTCCAATTAGCAAAAAAATCCCTATCATCAGAAACTTTTCACATAGCGTAAGGATTGCTGTTTCCCTCAGACAATAAAAAAAATAGAGCTTCACAAGGCTCCCCCTCAAAAAACGGACGTATAACATCCAGGAAAAAAAAAAAAAGAAATCTAATACTGGTATGTCTTCCCCCACCCCCAGCAAATATTTCTATTTTAGTTATTTTAGCTGCAAGAGTTTGACTTAAGTGGTTATAACCTCTTGTGTACTTGCTCTTCTGCCTCCAGCGCTACCACCGCCACCACGCACCCTTCCCTGAGGAAGGGGATCTCAGTGAAGTGCACGGGCTACCCTGATTGCTTCTCCCAGATACAAAGGGAACAGAGTAACAGCCTTGAGATCTTGTGATACGACAGGGCACACAGGACCCAGAATGAAATAAAAATGCAGCAATATGAACACATACTTCAATGCTCAAAAGTCACTTTTTTTTTTTTTGGCAAAGACAATGCAAAAAAAAAAAAAAAAAAAGACTTATTACAAGCCCTAAATGTAGTATGGCACAGCATGTTAACATATTGCTGTACATCCTTTATAGAATTGCATCCAAAGCTATATTAAAATAACGTTAAGGTTGCAAAAACTCGGCAACAAAGTTGGCAACATCAACATGCAATCTTGATTTACACCTTCAGAATGAGTATTACAATCAAGTCTTCGCTTACACAATCATATTTTTTCCACGGGACTCCCATCTAATGCACAGTTATTAAGCATTACTTTTTACCCTTATAAAATCTGTACTGCCAGTAGCACACACCGCTTATTTAGCGCCTACTATCCAAACCCAGAGCTGCATACAGAATTGCAAACCCCCTCTTGACCATGACCCCGGTTCCCTCATTGCAATATCAGGGTTTGTGACGTTAACGCAAATCTCCTCACCTCCACTTGCAGAGAAGTTTGATGGCATCACAACCATCTCACTGGTGGGAAATGAAGACGAAGCAAAAGGGACACTGCTGCTAGCTGCTGGTTTAAGTTACCCAGTAACTCGAGGCATCCATCTGAGCCCACCGTGACTCATGGTCTTCATGGATACTCACAACCCCATGTGCTACGGACAGCCCCAACCAGCCTCAGCTGTGGTTGCAAACCCAAGATCACTTCTGCAAAACTAGCCCCAGGTGTCTCTTGGTGGGCATGCAGAAATGAGGAACAGGGAACCACATGGCAAGCTTGGAGCACTTGGGTTTGGATGACGTGCCAAAGCCCAAACAAGGCTCCTTGGAAAGAAAAAAATAAACCAAAAAAAAAACCACCAACCCCCAAAACTACATGATCTTGTCAAGACAGTTTCACAACATATACGGCTTGGTTAAGGTGGCCGATGCTGCCTTAACTCTATCATTTCCCAAATGTCACGTGCCAGATTATACCATCTTGAAGGTTGTTTTCACATACAGCTGGTTTTAATAAATGTCATTTCTTGAGAATTTTTTGCTCTGTCTTTAAGAAGTGAGAATTGAAACAACAGCAAGAGGCAGCTATAACCAGAGAGCGCAGTAAGGAGACAACATGACACGGCTTTGGCCAACAAGAGATGCACACCCCAAGACTCCACAACCAGAACCAACAGCATAACCAGCCACTGCACCACGCTGCTGGGTGGCACCGGGGGGTTGAGACATCATCCTCAGATTCTGAAGAGAAGAGCACTCCAACAGCCATAAGTCTGAGGCTCTTCCACCATGAGACCACAAGGAGTACTCCAGTGTTCTCAAACAACTCAAAGGGCCTTCAGGACTCCAGTGACTCCAAAGCAACGTGTGGCTCTATGAGAAACCAGGAGCTCCCACTGCTCCTTGGGGTAACCTGCTGCTAAGGTGGCCAACCAGTGTCATCACCATTGCCATTGCAAAAATCCTGATGCCTGCCAGAAATCTTTCTACCAGCAAGACTTTCCCCTTTATGCTATGTGGGTTGCCACCGAGGTCACCGGTACCCAACCTGGCACTGCACAAGGAGGACGTTCAGGCACTGTGGGACTTGTCCTCCCCCACCGCACCTGGGCAGGACCCTCCACGCTCGGCAGAGTGCTACACGGCTGCCCTGGCTTCCCCTCGCTAGTGACAACTCCTGCACACCGCCTGCATGGAGACACTGCAGCTCTGTTAAAAATACACACGTACATACATATGCATCCATACGTTAAAAAAGAAGAATTCGTTATTCAGCGACGAGCTGTGCTCTCGTTCCAGTCCATTATGTGCCCATTTGGGTTTGCTCGGGCAGCCTCAGGGACCCGGTGAGATCAATGGGTGCTCTCAGAAGACTTACCAAATACCCTCTAAATTTTAGAGAAAGTCACAGGTGTTGTTCAAAAGAAGGGGCATATCTCAGTTTTGCTAAATACTTAAAGCGGTGTTTATTGTGCTGGGGAAGGGGCTGCACTGACACACAGAAACTGCCAAGTATCGCATTTTTACCCTGCTCTACGGCATTCTCCATCCTCCCCAGTAATTTGCGCTTTCTTCTCTTTCAAAGACTCCCAGAAAAGGCATTTACAGTCAATACACAGTCTTATTAGCAGCCGGTATATATTCTCGTTTGCAAAGCGTGTGATTCACTTTTACAAACTACGCTTTTACTTTGAATTCCCCCTTACAGAAACAACACGCGAGCGTTGCCATTTTGTATCACAGACTTTCAGAGTCCAGTACGTTTCTGAAACAGGTTATTAAAACAAAAACGCCATTTAAATAAATCAGAAAAAAAAAAAAAAAATCAGTTAAGAAAAGCTTGCGCTGCAGTTGCTGTGACTAAAGAGAAGTGCGAAAGCCAAAAGGAAGGAGTTAACCTTTGTTGAAACAGCATCAAACAGTCGCTGCTGCTTCAGTTATTGCTGTACCGGGACTCGCTGCAGCAAACAGCATCCCTCGGTAACGGAAGAGCATCACCTACATACTCGCAATTCTCCAAGGGTCAAACCTAAAGCGCTGCCCTTTAAATGTGGGTAACAAGCAACATCAGGTACACAAGAAAATCTGGTAGATTGAAGAGGAAACTGCAGAGAACTATTTCTGAAATGTAAATGAGACTCTGCTACTTTCATTTCGTTATTGCCGGAGCCCTGTGCTGAGATGAAGTTTCCATCTGTGATTTTCAGGACAGGATATCAGCCATTTCAGACGGCATCCGTCGGAAACTAGAGAGACAAGTTACTGACAATTTTTTGTTTTATAAAAATATTTAAACTCTGTTCGGTCTTCCCTCGGACAGAGCTTATGGCAGATAATTCAGTGCTTTGGGAAACAACCTTGCAACAAACAAGCAGCTTTACCCCCACCATCCCTTTTTTAAATTATTTTTTTACGAACAACTTGTAGAAAGTTACAATTTGAAATGGACTAAATACTTTAAAAGGTAGTTTTGACAGGGCCACACTAAATGTCAATCTTTTATTACTCCTTTAAATATTCTCGACTCTAACAAGTTAACAGTTTGTGGTACCAAGCCTGAAGGTTTTGAACATAGAAAAAGATTTTCAAATCCCTCACTGACATTCGGGGACTCTTGGATTACCTGAGAATTCTTCTGTCCATACGCAAGAGACAGCTCACCCAGTGAAATTATTTCAAACACTTGTTGTTTCTTTTCTCACAACATTTTCACCATCAGTCCCCACAAATTTATCAGCAAAAAATGCTGAAGTCAATGACGATGCAATTAAGGCTTTGATTACATGATGACAGCAAATCGATTTTAAAGCAGATTATATCAACAGTTGGGCAAAAGGAGAGGCAGACATTATGGAAATCAGACCCTTTAATATCTTTAAGATTCCATAACCCCAGAGAGCATCTTTAATTCACCCTCTTTTATTCCAGATCGTTCACAAAAAAAAAACCCCACCCTACGTTACCACATTCTGGTAGCCCATGCGAACACACTTCCTATGACACAATGTTAATACGTGTTAAAAACCAAAATTTAAAAAAAAAATAAAAATTCCCAATTGCAACTCTTTCCCCACTAAGGTGATATTTGCAACAACACACATTTTCAAAGAACCCCAGGACACGACACATCACTTACTTCCACCGGACAGGCATGGTAAGTGCCTGGTGAAGGCAAGCAGAGTTACACACAAGTATTTAAGAGCAGGATTTGGCTTCAGACTCCGCATGAAGGCAGGAATAGGGAACTATTGTGCTGCCTGTTTTCTCACAGCAGATCCCAACTAGCTTTGGCTATGGATCCGGCACCGCCAGCCAATTTCAAGAAGAAAAAAAAAAAAGAAGAGCCTCCGACCCTTTCCTTTCTTTCCCCTTTTGTAATCTCTTGCAGGCACAACTGCTCCAGCAAGCAGCTCCCCGACCAGCCCAATATTTACACTAAACCACTAAAGGACTTTCTATTATAATGCTATCTCATTGATACAAGATTACTCCTGAACCACATCAAACCCTGCAATACTGTGAAAGGCACAAACGCCGTCTCAAGAAGGAGGCGCAGAGTGGATTATTTTAGTCTCGTTATTTCAACAGCACTTTTTAGATTTATGTAAAAAGTAATGCAATGCTACAGTAAGTGTTTCTCCCCTGGGGGCAACTTCGTGTCTATATGGATTAAATGTACATGCGTAAACACTTGTGATAGCTAATTATGTTCCTGAAAACACTCGATTCTCACTGTTTCTTAATCCTACAAAATAAAAACACTTCAAAAAAATTTTCAGATAATAATCAATTTTATCCAATGCCTTTGAAACTCTTCAGAGATTTTCACCTGAGAATCAAAAAGTGTTAAAACTCCGGCCTCTTTTAACTCTCTTTTCTAAAAGATGCATGGATGTAAAAACCCCAACAGACCGCAGCACTTGCCGTCTCCTCTGGTTGCAAAGAACATGAAAGAGTAACCAGACATTTTTATTCAAATGAAATTATACAATTTTTTTTTACCTTTTCTGTTTTCTTCAGCATGTAAAAACCCCACCCTATAATGAACACAAGCTTAAAGCAATCTCTTCCAATGGACCGTTTTACTTATTCTACAATTTCTTACCCAAATTACACAGGTATAATTATTTTGACACTGTAATGAAAAGAAAATGGGATTTGGGCACTGTGGGTTTATCTAATAACACTATTTCTTGCCAGACTTCACAGCACTGACAATCACAAAGAGCCCTGTCCATTCCAATAGGAAATATTTGATTTTACTGTAGGAACATTATTTATTTTCACCAACTTGCTATTATCAGAAAGGATATGATAGCTGAATAATAAAAATGAAATCAAGAAATTCTGGTGTTTCAAGGCTTTATTTTTTTCTGCTCTCACTTTTGACATTTTCTTCCCCTGGAGAGACAAGATAAAGTGCTGTCATAAATGGGTGACTTTTCTTGTCAAATGACAGATTTGATTCTCCATGGCAACCACAAATCAAGGTGCTAGTCTGAATTAAAGCTTCTCTTAAAAGGCGTCTTTATGTTTATAAAATGAATTTAAATTAAATGGGTATTAGGTACAGTTTTTTACCTCCATTTATTTATTGACTAAGGAGCTCTGTACTGTGTGGAGCATATTTGCATTTTAAGGAAAGACAACATATTGTACTGGCAGATGCACAAACAAAGCAAGTTACAAGGTCATGCTACATATACTAGTTTACAGTACTGTGAATGGTATACAGATGGACAGCAAGCAGTTAAGAGGTACTTAAATACTGGAAAAAGCACAAAAATTACCTACAGAGTAACAGATGAAGGAAATCTCTCCTCATTTCATAACACTGCTTTCTTCCACACACAGTTAATAGAGAGTCATGTAATTGTCACAAACAGAATGCCAAAAGGGAAAAAAAATTAAAAAAAAAAAATCAGATGCTTCATCCTGTGCCCTTATGCAATCTTACTATAGTGCATGATACACTCTTACAAACGGTTGTTACCATGACTTTCAAATATCCCAATTTATCCCAGATTTCTAACTTCAACTGCTCTAAAAATTCACTTTCTTGAGGTCACAACACATCTGAATTTCTTTATTCAGAAGATGAGT